TCTCAAACTCCAAACCATGAGGTGGATACAATTTTACAGCTCAATGGTCCTTGAGCTAGATTCACCTATGACCTCATCTTGCTGTCTTCACTGAACCAAGAACGCCCCCTCAAGTCACAGCATCCTACAGGCTTTCCCCTGTAAAAACGTCACTTTTCCCCACTGTCCTCAACTTGATGAAAGAGATTAGCCTGCTCTTTACTATGCAGACATTAACCTGACCACTCCTTTTCACAATTTAACACATTCTCTACATCCCAGTCCTTTCCTGTCCAACTCCTTAACACCAGTCAATTTCTAGCAATCCTCAGAGCTTATTTCAGCTCCTATCTATTCTATAACATATTTTACTAGCATTCTAATTCACAGTGAACTTGACTTTCTCTGAACTTAAGGGCCATGTAAGCATTTAATTCTACACTGTTACTTAGTGATTCCATGTGTACATGTATCCCCGCTGCCTTTCAACTACAGAGATTGCTGGTTCCTAGAGGGCAAGAATTATTCACTATAGAATCTGTCATCGTACTCTATACCCCATAGGTATTTAATAAATAAAAAGTTGTCTCTGGTACTTAACATAATGTTTCCAAATGTATTTGAAACTTATCAACTTGTCAAAATTCTGTTTTATATTAATTCTAACTTTCCATGGGGACTTTTAAAAGTACTGCAGTATTTACTACAAATTATTCTTGAAGAACAAAGCCTATTTGATGGTGACACTGCAAACACTGCAAACTTTTTTAAAAATCCAGTGTTCACTCAAAGAGATTAAAGGCCAATATTTTTAAAGAAAAGAAACAGAGCTTTCACATGGGACAACAGCATTCCTATTATTGAAATAACCCCGCTTCAGTGTGTTTAATTTCAAAAACTAATATTCTCAAATTCCTCCACAATTCTTATCCTGAAATTTGTTTTAAAAACTAAAGATTTAGGATGCACATCTTTTACAGATTTCTTTAGCATAACAAAAGTACTATGTAATTTCACTAATGTTCCTTTTCTTGCTGATAAATTCAAAGTACATCCAAAATGAAAAGAAAGAGGACAAGTTATTTCCTTATTGAAACATGTACCACTTTCCTGAAATACTGACTTTCAGGGATGCTTTATTGGCTTTCAGAACTCCAGGAACTTTGAAACTATAGGCCAGAAATTAGACACTTTGCTAGGGAGTAAAATTTTGTTTATTTGTTTTGTGTATATGTAATTATCTTTTATTCCTTGGTTCTCATTCTTCATATTGTCATAAATTATAATCTGGTCATATGACACAGGCATCAAAAGACTTCATTTAAAATATCTTTTTTTACAAGTTATTTTTCTTGTCTTTTTATGCAATGGTAATACTGAAAATATAAAAAACATATTTACCCATTGTCGTGGCTTGTGTCTAGATGTCTCCCCAAAGCCTCATGCAGCCTTTTTCAAAGGTAGCTAAATCTGGAATGTTTGATGCTAGGATTAAGGGTGTGTGATCACTAAACCACTATACTTGAGTGATTGGTTTGGCACCGCCCTAATCCCTCAGTAGTCTGAATAAGATAAAGGGAGCAGAAAGGCACTGTTAAAGTCCCTTGTTGCTTCTGCTGTGTTCTGCTGCCATGAACTGTTGCCCCTCTGACATCCTGCCTTGAAGCCTGCTGATGATGGACTGAAACCTCTATGAACTGTAAGCCAAGTAAACCCCTTCTCCTCTAACTTTGAGTGTCAGGTATTTTGTCTCAGCAACAAGAGAAAAGTAACTTAACACACCTGTTCTCCCTATAATGTAAATGTTTCGCTGTTAAAGGGCATTTTGTAGAGAAACTGGAAACTTCATATACTGTTGATGGGAATATAAAATGGTACAGCCACTTTCAAGAACAGTTTAGCAGTTCCTCAAAATTTAAACATGGAATTAACATAGGATCTAGAGTCTGGAATGTATACATGTGGACACACACACACACACCCCCCTAATATACACACATTATTTGTTTAACTTAATATATTACGTAAGTCTAGCAAGTCAAACTTCAGTGGTAAAAATAATGTGTGCCTGCTTTTACTCTTTCGTTTCCAAAACACCACAGATTTGTTGACTCTTAAAGGATATTACCTCAGAGTACTCAGAAAGTTAGCAGTACTACCTCTGAATTCCGATCTGCTTCATGTCTCTTTGCGCTGGGCTTTCAGATCCTAGAAAGAGCTCCAGTCTCCTCTATGAAGCTTTGCAAACTTTGAACTTCCTCTTCTAATTTTATAGTATCCTTTTGCCAATTAATTATGTATAACCTTGTGATATATTATTTAATTGTTCATGTGCCTCTCCAACTAAATTTCACACTTGTTGAGTAAAGAACAATGTATTATACCTCTTTGCTAGCACCACAGAATGAAACTGTCCTCTATACCTAGTATATAACACATAAAGTATTTTTATTAACATTAAATAATTACATAAAAGTTGTCTTGACAGTCTTCTTACCTATAATAGCAGTTAAAATATCGTGTCTTATAATAAAACTTCAGTTTCTCAGGAAAAAAACTAATAGCCACAAATTAGGAAAATTACCATTTGTGTGGATGGGTAACAATGTGTAACCCCAACACTCAGGAGGCTGAGGCAGGAGGATGGTGAGTTTAAGGCCATCCTGGACTACACAGCAAATTCAAGGTAATCTAGACTACAAAGTGAGACCTTACCTAACAACAACCAAAAAAAGCAGGGGGGGAGGGAAAACATAATCAAATACCTTTTTTAAACCATTACAATGCCTAAAATTTAAAAAGACTGACATAACCTATCAAAGACCCCTGCAGTGGGTCCCAATCTCCTGCTCAGTGCTATGATGTATGGCAAGAAGAAAAACTTAAAGACAGAATTAAAGAGAGATATATGGAGACCCAGGATGACCAGTGCTCAAGCAGTCAGAGGCTTGAACAAACAAAGGCCCTGAACACCCAGAGCCATCAATATTTACTGGTGACATCATAGTTAGATTGAGGTAAAGAGGGGCTACCTGAAGTTGCTATGGATACGTTACTGATGCAGGCAAGGCATTCTTAAATTAGGAACAGAACAGACAAAATATAGGTTGTGGTTAATAATTAACCTTGTCTTTTTAGTAAAGAAGGTTTTCACTTTGGGAATGTAATTTGGGTGCAAGTCACCCCGACCTCAGCTACTACATTATCTAGTCATGTAGGCTTTGGGCGGACTCACTTCACAAAACAAGCCAATTGTGGGGTTAACTCTTTACAGCCTGCACTGCTTACAGCCTGCTTTGGGCATAATCAATGGGGCAGTCTTCCACAATAACCAAATGCTGCAATGTAGAAGGAAAACAATGAAAACTCTCATATGTTGCAAACAAGAATATAAAGTGATACAACCATTTTGGAAAAAATGTTTGATAATTTCCTATACAGCTATCCCACACATGATGTGACAAGTGCACTCTTAACTGGTTAACCAAGAGAAATGAAGTAAATAAATGAAATAAAATAAAATTACGTTCAAAACATTAATGTTGGCTGAATGAAAAACTACCAAGGACTACTGAATTATTCCATTTATATAAAAGTCAAGAACTAATCTATAATAATAGGTATCAGAACAATGGTTAATTAGGATGGACCAGGTGTGGTGGTGCACACCTATAATCCCAGCATCTGAGAGACTGAGGCAAGAAGATCACAAGTTTGAGACCAGCCTGGGCTACACAGTCAGGTCAAGGCTAAACTGAACTACAAAGCAACGCCCTGTCTCAAAAGCAAAACAAGAAAAAAACAATGGTTGCTTATGAAGAGTATACATCAGAAGGCATAAGAGAACTTCAGAGGGTAATTGTTTGAAGTCTTCCTAAATAGGATAATGATAAATGAGAATTTATATTGATCAAAGCATATATTTAAGATATGTATACTTCATTGTATCAATGTTACCTCTAAAGGAATAAATTGAATGTTTTACTTCAGGAGTAGAAAATGCAGAGCACATTACATAATAGCCAGCATACAATGAAACATGGCTATTTTTAGAAAGTGTATTTACTGATTTATTCAAATTCATAGAGAAAGGCATAAATTTATATAGGATCCCTTAGTTCATACAGGAGAGGTCTGATTTTAAGCATTCTGAAACCAGTTATTGGCAAATTATAATTTCTTATATATATATATATAAACGTGTATAAATACACAAATATTTTTACACAAATATTTTATAGAGAGGTTTTCTTTAAATGAGACTTGCCAACATAAGTATGAATGAACCAAATGAAGAGCTTCAATACTTATTAATGATGATAAGAATAAAAACCTTCTGGTTCCTAAGTATCCTATCTTGGGAACAAAAAAAGTGACCTATCAATAAGGTCCCTACCAAAAAAGTATACCCAATTATTAGTTATTCCTGATAAGCAAATATGACAACTAACAATACAAGTAATGCTGATAATAATTTATATGAAAAAATGGTTATGTTAACTACTCATAACTTTTATTCTCAGTCAAGTCCAACAAAGAAAATACAAAACATCTCACAATTATTTTGCAACAAGGCCTACAACTGTAACTCTAGTTTTCATATAATACTAGTAGGTATAGAAAATTTTAACTCCAAATGGATTAAAATGATACTTTTCATGGGAATGTCCACAAATGGATAAAAGGATACTTACACTAACACTGACAATACATTTTTTAACACTGACAATATTTTACCAGATCACTTAACCTTTTATTTTAAAACTAAATGAAATACAATTTTAAAATTTAATTGATCAATGCATTTTGGAATGTTTTAACCCAAAGCTCATCTTCCAAAGTTAAATAAAGACAGTCCTTCTTACAGACACACACACACACGCACACTCTATCTCTGTGTGTATGTCTGTATGTGTCTAAACAAGTTCTATGAGGTTCTCAAGAAGTTTTAAACTGATTTTTTAAATTTGAAACAATTACACTGAGCTATCCATTTTTATAGCTCTTAACAGAGAGCATACCTGTGCCCTCTTTTGCAACTTCAGCAAACGTTCAGAATACTGTAATTCCAGTTCCTTCTTTCGTTTGTGCCAGCAGCTCTCTTGGGCTTTGATCTGTTCGGCCACTTTGTTAAAGGTGTCTTCCTGGGTTTGTTGAAGTTCTCTCATTGTGTCCGACTTATTTTTACAGATATACTCTAGATGGCTTACCTATAAGAAGAAATGAAACAGAGAATGAGATATGTCTAAAAAAAAAAAAACAACACTTCTTTGCAGCACCTTCCCAAAATACACCCAAATTTTTCCATTCTTCTTATTCCTTTAGATCATACAAAAATTTTAAGCTAACATACATTTAAGAAACAGGAATTAGTGTTTACAGCACCACAAGTTATAATGGTTAAATCTTGCAACCAGCTTTTATGTCCATTAACAGATGAATGGATAAAGAAAATGTGGTATTATATACAATAGAGTACTACTCTGCCATAAGGAAGGATAAACTTGAGTCATTTATAGGAAATGGATGCACCTTGAGACCATAATGTTAAGTGAAATAAATCAGACATGCAAGGTTAAATATTGCATGATTTCTGCTACATGAGAAATCCAAAATATAAATAAATTATAGAGCAAAATAAAACATAATAGAAAGACAGAGAGATAGATCTTTTGCATAGGGGAAAGGGACCAAGAGATCCAGAGAGGGGGGATGAAGAAGAGGGAAAGAGGATGAAAAATAAGGTGTGCTATGAATGTAATCATTATGTACTGCAAACATGTAGTGATAAAATAAAATTTAATTTTAAAAAAGAAACAGTAATTAATAGGTTAAATTATCTTAGCAGAAAATGGAGTCGTGTAAGTTTTATGTTCTTTTTTTTTCTAACAAAGTTATTTATTTTATAATCAATTTTCCTGAGATGATTTTTAAAAGATATTCTTATTTTTGGAAACAAAGCTCAACCTATTTAGATATATCAATGGGAAAGGAAGTGGTTAAATGAAATTTGCAAATCTGCAGACATTTTACATATAATGAAGCAGAATATTCTATTTTTCTAATTCACAAACAGAAAAGAAAATCAAATGTAGAACATTTAGTGATGTTTTGAAACTATGAAAAACTATTAAAAAAACATAATGCCATCTCAGATGGTTAAAACACACCCATTTTAATTATTAGTAATTTTAAACTCATTATACACATATTCATATTCACAAACACCATCTGTATTTCTCACAATTTATTCCCTCATTTCTCAGCTCTACTTCTCAATGCCTATGATTGTGTTTGCCAACAGAATCAAGGTAAAATCCTTAAGGATAAGAAATCTCACCCAGAAACTGGGTTGTTTTATTAGTTCAACAGACTTTTTTCAAAAACATGCAGAACATTTTTTTCTTCCTGTCTCTTAAGAACAAATGTTATTGTAATTAAAACCTGGAAATTAGACCACATAAACACAGTTCTGACCAGTTCAATAGAACAAGGATAAGAATCAGTATCTTTAACAGTGACATACATTGATCTGCTAATCCATTTTAATTTTCTATAACCAAAAGCAGGTTTTGTTTTTTTAGGGGAAAAAAAGACTGAATTCCTAGTTTTGTGAAATGGTAAAGTGACCATAAAAGTCTATTGTTTTGTTCTTACAAAATAGATGTTACATTTTAAAATATAGACTAGGTTTTCTTTATATAGTTTGCTGTATTTCCAGAAACAAGTCATACATATGATTTAAATTTTTCTAAGTGCTTTTAAAATAACACTCATATTTCCTAAGCAAAGGATTCTAAGATAATGTTTTTGAATAACTGTATCCTGTTTCTATTTTATGCTAACATAAAGAGTTGGTTTATTAATGTAAATGACTAAGTTCTTTGAATTGCTTCATCAGTAAGATTAATTCATTTTCTTTTAATTAGGTCCCTGTGGCTAATACTGGCTAGTAGTATTAGCATGTCCTGCACAGAAAGTGGAGCTTAGAGACTTCATACAGACTTCAGTCACATTTACATGCCCACAGCAATGGCATCAAACTGAGTTGTAGACAAGCCATAATTAATGGTATTGAATTATTAACATCCAAATTCTTTTTGAAATAAGATGAATGTCAGCCCCTCTTAATGATACTGTGATGTGGACAAATGTCACTGAATTTAATAGAGGTATCTAGTGCCTGAGGACAGTTACCTTCTCATTAGCCCTGTTGAGGTCTGCAACAAGGGCATCAACATTCTCCTGCAAGACTGCACAAAGCTCAGACCAGGAGAATTTATCCAACATGCCTTCTGGTTGTTTCATGAGCACACAGCCGGCTACCAAGTGTTGATACAAGGTATGAAGGAAGGTTAGCTTCTCCTGCAAGGAAAAAGACAATTCCTTTATATAAACATTGTAAGAAGTAAAACACATAATACAAACAGTAAAAAATTTATTTCTAAAACCTAGAAACTAAAATACTCAAGTTTCAGATACTGTCATTTAGATAACTTTTTTCATGTTTAAAACCAAGTATTACATAGAATACTTGCAATTGCTTACAACTGGAATTCAAAACCAAACTCTGATGTCTAAAAGCCAAAAGACCACATTTCCGACCCCATCTTTTCTCCTGGACAAGAATGTGATATGAGTAAGCATCTATTCAGGCCCTAAGCTTCCTTAGCTGTAATGCAAGCTGTCTGGAGTATTTGTTTATCAGCCCTTCAAACTGGAAGTCAACACAGTGGTTCTATAATTTCTTATTTATATTTACCAAAGCAGATGTTAAGTCCAAAAGCAGTGTGGAGAGAAAACGGTCATACAATTCTGATGAAGAAAAAGTTACACAATATCTATACTTCACATGTACACAATTACTCAGCTTTCTTCCTACTCCAGAGATTCCATTTTACTTACCATTTATAGGAAATCTATTCTAACCCCCTTAGGCAAAGCAGACAGTGATATAAAAGATATGGAAGAGGGGCTCATTTGTTTTTCCCCGCTTATCAGTTTATGTAGTACAGTATTTAACACATTGGGCATTTGTAGGATTTAAAATATTACAAAGTAAGAGGCCAAAAAGAGTGGATATAGCTTCTCAAGACATATTTTCAAAAATGTTCAATTAGAAATATGTGAAAAGGTCCTTTAAAAGTATAGTATTATAGATACTAAACTATCCACTATTTTGCTTACTATGCTCTAAAATTCAGTATAAAGCTGATCTTATCTTGAACACAGAAGCAGTATTTACTTACATAATGCTGAGTGGCCCTCTTTATAAGGCATTTCATCTATAAAGTCTCAAAGCACATGACTCAAAGACAAAATAATTGTGAAGCTGCAAAGTGAATATTTTATGTGGATAAAATAAGTTCCCTCAAGGTAATTTAACAGATCAGCAGGTAAAGAAAACTTTTAAAAAAGGAAAACTTATAACAAAAACATTGAAAATTCTAATCTTCTAGATTAAATAACAGTAACAACAAAAATCCCAAGGCAGTATACACAATAGTTTTGTAATTAGAATCTGTAAAGTTAGTTTTCCTGATTAATGTATATCATTAATTCACTCTATAAGCTACCTCATTTTTTCCAAATATAATAATTTAAAAAACAAAATTTTTAAATGTAGTTAAAACCACAAATTTGAGTCAAGATATCAAAAGATTTTTTTCATAGATGTGCTATGCATCATTCCTATGCATTGTCCTTTTATAAGCAGTTAAAGATGACTTTTGCTTTTTTTTTTTTTTCAATACCAGGGATTGAACCCAGGCCCTTTGCACTTAGCTACATTCACAGGCCTTTTTGAGACAGGTTCCCACTAAATAAAGTTTTTTGATTGTTTGTTTTCATTTATTTATTTATTTATTTTTGGTACCGGAGATCGAACTCAGCACCTTGCTCTTGGAAGGCAGGCAGCAGCACCACTGAGCTAAATCCCCGCCCCGTGAGAGTATTTGTTTTCTGAGACATGGTCTCACTAACTCACTGAGTAGGCTGGGCTCAAACTTGCAATCCTGCTGTGTCAGCATCCCAGAATGCTGGGATTATAGCCACGTACCACCATTTCTGACAATTTTATATCTTTAACTGAGTTGAATGCACAAAATTTTTATTAAATATAACTTCCAAAATGTATTATTCAAGCACTAAAATATTCCTTTTCCATATTCTTGCCACGTGATCATGTTCATCCTTAAGGAAGCTCATCTTTGGGGATAATTTATTATGTTGCCCTTATATCCTTTTTGCTTAGGCTATGATAAACAAAGCATTATAATCACCCATTTGGCATGAAAAGAGAATCACAACATCCAAAATCAACTCACACATGTTGAACTCAACCACAATGCTGTAGACATGCTGACTTTACAATACAGTCAGGCTTCTAGTTTCCTTTCCTTTAATCACTATCTGATGTATAGAACAATTCCAACCACTTCATGTGGACACAATTTAAATCCAGACTGTAAGAAGAGTGGAAAGAATGTTTATTTCCTTTTTATTCCCTTGGCATTTGTGCTCATATTTGTAGGAGTAATGAACTCAATATGCAGGACAGCTTTGGATAAACTGGTTCCATTAGCCACACTAGCTCTCTACCCATAGGTAAAAAATATAACAATTTCAGTCACAAAGATTCATACAGAATATGAAAATTTTGTCATAACACTTTAACAAGTCATTAATAAATAAAAATGGATAGACAACTGTCTAGGACAACCAAATGAAGTTTTGATTTCATGGAACTTTTATTTTTCTAGGTTTTTATTACTACCCTATAATTATAAAGACTAAAGAGACTGTGTACTAAAGTAGATATTACTCCTGTTTTACAAATAAAGAAACAGATATGAAGAGACTAAGCTGTGTGGCTTGTCCAGATTTATTTGATTACAAAAAAAAATTCTACCATACAAACCTGCAAAACCACTAAAAATAAAAATAACCTTATCACTGACAAAAAAGCAAACTTTGAAGGAACAGTTAGAAGCATAGCAGCTTGAAATATAATAATCTAAAAAATTCATGGTCCAAGTGACAGAGGGGTTAAATTATATTACTTTTCTCACAAAGTAGGATGATACAGCATAATGGAATAGCTGATTTTGCAACAGTCGTGAATATTTCAAAATATTCAGCAAAGAACATTTTTTTTAAATGAAGTATGAGTAAAAATAATTACTTGATGTAAGTAAATGCATAAATTCAAGATTAGTGAAAGGCTTTTTCTAGCTGTCTTTCAGTCTCAGGTAGTACCTCAGTGTCCTTATGGAAAGCCTGGGACAGCTTCTGAAGTTCACTTTCATATTGGGCTGCTCGTGACTTTTCTTTCTCCCAACAGTGCAGCACATTTTGTAGTTCTACTTTTAAAGTGCTTATTAAAGCTTCTCGGTCTGCACATTTAGTGCGTAAATGACTTAACTCTTTACGGACTTCAGCCAGTTTATCTTGAAGTTCCTGTCAGAGACATCAGATAGAATGTAAGAAGACTCCCCAATGGGAAGCCACGTCAACATAAAATATATAATGAAAACTTTCAAAGGTGTAATATAAAACAATAAAGTATTTGCTTTAATGTTAATCAGTATTTTGCTGAAAGTATTTTGTAAGTATATTTTAGCTCAAAAATTAGAAAATTTGTTATATTTGAACATTTGGAATAAGACAGCTAATTCTAAAAAGCTCTTTAAAGTCAGTTTTCCTTTCAACTCATTATAAAAAACATTTGATAGTTCAAAACATTTTAATAACACTTCAACATTTTACAAAGTAAGTCTCTTTACATTTAATATAAAAACATTTTCTTTCCAATGATATTCCAAGTACTAATAAAAATCTCAAGTATATGGCATAAAATTCAGCTGAATTATTCCTTAACCTTAACAAATTCTATTGAACTGTGTCCACAACAAACTCAATATGAACCAACACAATAAAATTCCAACAATATTGAGCAACTCAAATTTTGCAACGATGCAGTACATAAAACTAGTGCAGAAAGAAACTGTTTTTCTGGACCTTAGCCAGCTGTGGTCTCAGCTCATTACCAGAGATGAAGTACTAAAAACAATGGCTCCACCCTAAAATGATGAAAACTGACTCCAAACGTGTGTTTATGTAAAATATACTTAATATGTACAGGTATCTAAGGCAGGAGGACATTAAATCTCAAACTGTTTTTGAAGCTGTATTATTACAATTACATCAGAAAAATCAATTTTTCCTTTAACCAAAATAATTTGCAATCAAGTTTTTGTTTTGTTTTTTTTTTGGTACGGGGTATTGAACTCAGGACCTTGCGCTTGTGAGGCAGGCGGTGGAACCACTGAGCTAAATCCCCGGCCCTCAATCAAGTTTTTTTTAATGAAAAAAATGTTACTTTGATCAGCATCAAAGTATTAAAAGTACATACTAATAAACTTTATAAAGAGGAATATATATTTACAGCTAGCTCTAAAATATTCCCAAAGTAAGTATATCACTTCTTAATAAAAAATGAAAAAATACTACCTTTATATTTTTAGTGTGAAATTCAATCTTCAGTTTGGTGGAATCAAGTTCATTAGATGCCTTTTCCTTAGCATCATTCATGCTGTTTAGCTGATTAAAAAATAAAAGTAACTTTTTATATTTCTCAAGGATGTGTTACTCAAGCACTAACCTTGAAATGCTTTTTATGCAATTAAGTACAAATTTTTCAACAGTAATTAAGAGTCTTAATAACAATTATTCTTTTGGTTAAATACTACGTATTCTCTGTCACAAGCTCACATGACTAAAAAGAAAACAAAGCATTCTTAAATGTCAGTGATGTTATTGTATTTTTACTAGATGTCTAGATAAAGGATTTCACTCTTATTGTAAACAAATATAACTTTATTCTGAAAATCCTACTGGACTAAAATGCCAGAAGCAGTGATATCTACAAGGGAAGAAAAGAGAACAAAGCCAAAGACTGTTTTCCTATGCATCAAGAGGGTATTCACCGGTCTCTCACTCTATGACAACTTCAGGGTCAGTCACATGTAGCCCTACAGGGAAGGGTTGTGGCAGGTCATCAGTTGGTCCTGCACCACTTGTGATTCATTTTCTTTGACAGTTCATTCTTCTTTCTGTCAGACTGCTCTTTTTGCTTTCTTTGCAGCCACCCCCTTGGTCTCCCCACTGCTGTCTTTGGCACTGGTTCACAACAAAGCACATTACTAAGCCAAAGCCTGCTGAGTCGACTTTTCAACTGTGCTGAGGATCATGTGACATTCATCCTCCCGAATAACAATTCGCTGTGGGTAATACATTCCTAGTTACCCTGCAGCTTCCAGACATAGGCCTCAGAAGAGTTTTATAAACTACTAACAACACAGGTCTTGTCTTGTCTCACAAGGAAAGACGTAGTAATACTTGTTCTTCATAGAAATTTAATTATTTCAACGGTTACTTTCTGTTTTTCCTTTTGAATATTTACATAGGGTATCAACACGACTCACTTTTCCTTCTTTGTTCACCTTACCTAACTAAAATAAGCTACCAATATGTTAAAATAATGGTCTACGCTTTTGTAATATATGAAAGAAACACTAAATTCTTTGCTTTGTGACTTGTCCTCAGCTGAACAATCTGTTTTGTTAATTGTATTTAATGTAATTACTTCATATGCTAATTTGGCAAGATGTAGACAAACTTCAATTCTTAAAGCATAAATTATAAAACATTCTAATGCTCAAGAAAATCATCAACTCACAGATTAAACAATACAAATGAGATGATAAATAGGGCTTTTTCAATCAGCAAATTAAAAGCTTCCAGGCTACATCAAAAGGATTTTTGTTTTTAAAAGCCTCTAACAACACTTCACTCCCTTTAGAGAATTAAAGTAATTTCTATTTTCTATTATGACTTCCAGAGTCTGTAGAATTCTCAAACTAAAATATTGACAAAACTGAAATTTCCACCAATTATTCCACATCATAAAACACATTAACATTTTAACATAACACATTAATTTAAATGACTTGCACAGCTTTTTATTAAATTAATAGATAAATTAAGAAGGGCCAACATCTTTATAACTGAAAATAATAGTGTGCCTGAAGAGTTACAAAGACATAAGTGAGAGACTATGTTAAGCCATACTTACAGAAAGAATAGTGTGAGACAATTTATTATGTTTTGTATCTGTGAAGCTGTCAATTCAACATCCCAATCTTTTCGACCTTTGTAACAAGCAAGGGATACATACTGGTACAAGCCGACGGCTACATGTGTGGAGCCAAACAGTGCAAGTGTTACCTCATTAGATGCATCTTCTAGCTTGCTCTGGTAATCTGTCAAGGTACACCTCAAAGTCTCAAGGACAGCAGAGAAGCTGGGAGGTTTATCTTTGTCCTTGTGGATGCCTAGAGAAAAACATAGGATGAAAACATACCCTTAAAGTCACATAGGCACAAAAGACAAGCACACAATAACAGAAATATTACAATTAGATGTAGCCAAAAAGATGGTACAAAACATTAAGTAGAATTTTATTCTCCAAGTATGCTGCTATACAGCCAAGTATTAAACACCTTTCTAAATAAGTGGCCAAACTGAAGTTTATAATATACCAAGTTAAAATTTATGGTGACTTTCTACCATATCAAGATCCATATGATAGTAATTTTTTTAAATCTCCTAAGTAACAGCAATATTTGTATATTCCCTCTTATCCAACAATTAAATGAATATACTAACACTATTTTGGGAAATTACATAAACCTACTTGGTTCTTGTGTTTCTGATCAATCAGGCCTTTTATAATGTACTATTTTGCTTAAGTAATAATTTCTGAACCCAACAGCATATAATTTTTCATTATGCTTGGAAATATTCTTCAATCCTTATAATTCTCAAGTTACAATTTGAAATAAACAATAAAATGCTATTATTTACACAGCCTACATCATGTTTCAATGAAAAATTTTTAAGACTGATATCCATTGCAAAAATAAGTATTTCCATATTATGCCCTCAGACTAATGTAGTTGGGCCATAAGTTAAATTACCTGAGCTAGTAAAGGTCACATGGTCAAACAAAATTCCAAATATTAATCCAAAATAATCAAAAGTTGAGTTTCAAAAACCACTTTAAATTGATTTTTTATTTTACTACTCTGTACTACTTTACTACACTAACCCTCAGTGTTAAAAAACAAGTACCCAACTTAGTTTGAAAACAGTCACATTAAAAATATTATTTCCTGATATCATTTCTCCCCATATTTTATAATCTAAATATTTTAATATACAAGAAAAATATTTGCAACAAAGATAACTACAAAAAGAAGCATTTATAATATGCATTTTTTATTCACTCAATTTATTGAATTCCACTTATGTCCTAATCTTAAGCACAAGGCCTGTGGAGGTGCGCTGATCAGTGTGGCCTCTGTCCATACAAAATCTACAATCTAGTAAGAGGGCAACATAGAAAGTAAATAATGACAACATGAGATCATTCTTCCGTTTCTCAAGTATTCTGAGACTGCAATTTGTAGGGCATGGGAGAAGAGGCAATAATAAAAGAAAGAAAAACTTATCAGTTAATGATAGCCCAACTTTATCTATCTTAAGAGTAATCTTTTTATTTATTTATTTTATTTTTTTGGTACCGGGGATCAAACTCAGGTCCTTGTACTTGCAAAGCAGGCAGCAGAACCACTGAGCTAAATCCCCAGTCCCGCTTAAAAGTAATCTTGGGAAAATGTTAGTAAATTTATGACAATTATCAAGATATAAACACTATCTTAGATATGAGTACAACAGATTTTTTTTTAAAGAATAATAATATTTAACCTAAAAACCTAAAGTTAATATGGAAATAACACTTATTCCAGCTAGGAAAAAAATACACAGCTCTGAGCCATGGAGGAGACAATACTCTGTAATGAGTATAAGCTGAAAAGACAAAGCATTAAAAATTTTATTACAGGTCTCACCAAATACGTTTTTTTTAATTGCTCTCTTGAACAAGATTTTAAAAAAGTACTTTTGCCACTACACAAAGTAGGCCATGAATAAATCATTCAAGGGCACTCAGGAAGTCTGCTAGTTCTTATAATAAGGGAGAAGACTTCCTCTCAAAAATTCAGAAGAATAAAATCATCTTAATATGATGTTGAGGAGTAAGAGGACAAAATGCCCTCTCCTTAAAGATCTATGCACATTTTTATATTCTACATTAAATAAAGTTTTCTTGACTGAAATGTTTATACAATGAAGTTTTCTTTAGGTACACTGTATGCCTTATGTCCTATTAATATATATTATTATTTTTGTTGGTTTTTGTTTTTGTTTTTTGTTTTGTTTTGGTTCTTTTGGTACCAGGGATTGAACTTGGGACCTTTTGCTTTTGAGGCAGGTGCCAGAACCACTAAATCCCCAGTCCTTAAAATATATTATTTTTTTAAAATACTTACTGGGCCAGGGATTTAGCTCAGTGGTTCCGCCGCCTGCCTCACAAGAGCAAGGACCTGAGTTGGATCCCTGATACTAATAAAAAAAAAAAAATACTCACTGGTCCTTGAATATGACAAAATGCTTACAAATAGAAAGAGAGGGTCTCTCTGAACCAAGAACCTATTGACTGTTTTGATTTAACGTAATGATATTTTTTGTTTCGTTTTGTTTTGGTTTTGGTACCAGAGATTGAACTCAGGACCTTCTGCTTTCAAGGCAGGCAGCAGAACCACTGAGCTAAATCCCCGGCCCCAACCTAATGATATTTTAATCACTGCACTATGGCCCAAACACAACAGACTATTAAAAGTATCCTATCAGAGGGCCAGGGATTTAGCTCAGTGGTTCCAAAGCCTGCCTCACAAGTGCAAGGTCCAAAGTTAGATCCCCAGTACCAAAAAAAAAAAAAAAAAAGGATCCTATCAGAAAGAGGTTTAAAAATTCACTAAGTACTGCTTTAGAAAAAGATTTAACAGTAGTAATAACTGACTTTTCAAAAGTCAAATTCCTAATGAATAGACATGTCAGGCCTGCACAGTAGATACAATTCCAGTTAGCTGGGAGGCTGAGGTAGGAGGATCTTGAGTTCTAGGCTAGCCTGGGCAGCTTAGCAAGACCTTGTCTCAAAATAAAAAAATAAAGGGCTGAGGAGAAACCTCAGGGGTAGAATGGTTTGCCTAGCATGGGTCCAATCCCCAGGACTAGAAAAAAAAACATATCAACTCAAAATCTGTTTTCTGTCTCCTCTCCATATATGTATCTGTGTACATAAGTAACAGCCTATGCTTTCACATTACCACTCCCTGCTTCAATCTCTCCCTCTCACTTTTAGAAGGATTCAACTCTTGGGGCAGGGGATTTAGCTCAGTGGTGCCACCACCTGCCTGGAAAGCACAATGTCCTGAGTTCGATCCCCAGCACCCAAAAAAACAAAAAAAGGAAAAAGGATTCAACTCTCACTGTACTTCACAAATCTTTCCTTCAATTAGTAGCCCACAAGATAGGGTAGGACATAAGAAAATGTTCCAAATCCCTGTGTTTAAATGTTTCCTTTCAGACAATCTCAAAAAAATAAGTATTTTCACATGACTCAAATCATCCACTGTTTTTCAAACTGGTGTTATTACTTCAGTAACTTACAATTCCATAGTGTAATGAATGAGGTGAATCTATCTCACGTACCTCCTTCTCAACCATCCTCTTACCTATTTTTTTTTCCTGCAAAACCCCAAAAGGAGAGAATTACTTTAAAATAGACATAATTGGCTGGGTGTGGTGGCAAATACCTATAATCCCAACACTCAAGAGGATCACTGCAAGTTTGAGGCCAGCCTGGGCTACATAGTGAGTTCAAGGCCAGCCTAGACCATAGAGGGACCCTGTCTCAAAAAAAAAAAGGTATATGGATAAAACATAAGTAGTCACATTTGTCCTCAGAATTCATAGGGGGAAAATTTGTGTTGTTTAATGTTTTTTGGTATTTTGTATGTGTGCGTGTGTGTATGTGTGTGTGTATATGTGGTTCCAGGGATCGAACTCAGGACTTTGTGCTTGTCAGGCAGGTGTGGCACCACTGAGCTACATCTCCAGCCCCTGTTTAATGTTTATTTTTTATCATATCTTAGAAAACAGAAAACAACATTCAAATGGTTCTTATTTTCACCTGACAAAAAATAAACATTTACTATATAATGTATGGAAAACTATGAAAATTCCTTTTTATTCTAAAAGCTATAAATATAAACATTTTGCTGGCAGATAAATTTCTCAAACTCAGACAAATTCTGTATATTAACTCATCTTAATCACTGAGGTCATAAATAAAGATCTTTGTTGTCTTGCAAACATTGGTGTTCATTCTGGAGTGTTTAAAGAAAATGGCTCATAAGTTTTCTAATATATGGAAAGTATTTATTCTGTAAGTCCTGCTCATCTGCTCCCTGCATCCCTTAGGAGAGCCCAGAAAACACTTCCTTCACTAAGGCTTGAGAAATATACTGGTGAAAGAAACCAAAGCCTCCCTGAGCTCTGTGTGGCTAGAAAGCCAAGAATAGCAGTAAGAAATGGTGCTATCAAACTAGGTTCCATGAATTCAGTGGGAGTGGTGGGACCTTGGGCAATATAGGCCAAGTGATAACACTTAAATTCTAGCAACAAGGTGGACATGGTTACCATAACAGGTTTTAAAGTCAAAGCAATACACATAAAAGGTTTGACCCATGGAGAATGCTAGCACTGGGTAACTTATCATGGTATTCCTAGAACTAAAATTAGATTAAGTCTTATCTGATTTCTGTAAGCAGAAAGTCTGGGTCTAACTGCAAGAAGTATGACTTAAATCAACACAAAGGAGATTACTGGCCCACAACCACTTCTCATACTTTAGCTAGTTTGCAGATCCAGGACTCTCTGAACAAAGAGGAAGAGTCCTGTTAGGCATTCTGACATATTGCTAAAAAGTTATGCTATAGGGGCTGGGGATTTAGCTCAGCGGTTTCACCGCCTGCCTCATAAGTGCAAGGTTCCAAGTTCAATCCCTGGTACCAAAAAAAAAAAAAGGTTATACTATAAATCTTCCTCCTAGCCTTCTCAAGAAAACATGAAATCATTTGCCAAAATGACTATATATTGCAGGAGAGGAATTAACCACTCTTCTTCAGGGATAACTGGAACTGGATCTGAACTGACACTAATTCAGGGAGACCTGAGATGCTATGATAGTTAACCTTAATTGGGTCAACATAACTGGCTTGGGATTAGTAAAGCATACTTCTGGGTGTGTCTGGGTGGGTCATGGAGATGTAATCCTGATACATGGTCCTCTCTGGCACTGTTCCCCTACTCTACTTCCCAGCTGCCATGAACTAAGCCGCTTTACTCCACCTTGCTCTTTTGCCATAAA